GTTCAAGAGGAAGCTCGACAGCGTCCTGCGAACAATGTGGTATGCAGATCTATCATGAATGAGATCTTCGAGTCTGTGGTGATGAGGCTCATACGGGAAATTACCCTCTGCCTCTAATTGAAGAACATTGAACATTGAACATTAGTCCTGTACACTCAACTTCAGTCTTCAAACTGTAGGAGATTACCTCCTTGACTCTACTACTGCCATTTGAGGTGCCATTCCAGGTGAGTACCCTAAATGGAAGAACAGAACTTATTAGTCCGTCAAGTGCACTTTGTGCACTCGAATAAACAACAAAGGATTGTGTTAGCGAAGTCTAAACCGCACAGCTTTTCTCCAGCTGCCCATTTGACACAGTCTTGTAGACCACTTCAAGCGCTCTAGAGCATTACAGCATCACATAGGAAATTGCACACGAAATTGTTTCCGGTGCTTCTGTTTATCTACCCTAGTTCCACATCCCGATATAAGTGCTTATTGGAACGAATTAGTGAGTGAGGTGGAGATTGAAAATTGTTCAATTTTCAGACAGACACTATTGCTTGTTGGCGGAAACCGCGTCTCCACACTTTATGCGTAGTGCATTCCCACCCCGAATAGATTTCGTAACTTTTCACCGGATGTACAAACCCGCCCAAATGAAAAATGCTTCCGTTTTTATTTTCCGTCTTCGGGTCTCGGTTCAGATCCGATGAGGACAGTGGCATGCACATATCGAACAGTTTCTGATGTTCCGGTGCAGTTTGGAACACCAAGTACAACATATGAGATTGTGCATTTTTACTTTATTCACTGTCACATTTCACCTGCGAATTTTGCATTCAAATACTTGGACGCAAATCAGGTGATCACTTTTTCAGCATGTATGCTTGTTATTATATCAGGGTCGCCGAGTGTTCAACTCAAGGATGCAGGTGTTGAATCAAAACGCGAAAGGTTGTGGTTCGAGTCCAAGCAGACACATTGCCACACAGATCTGTGGATTACCTATCTAACGATGCAACTCATTATGAGAAAGTGAACTGCAACACCTAGATATTGAATAAGGACATCCAGAAGCGAGCAATTTACACGGGCCATAGTTAAGGACAATCTTAGTGAACACCTAGGGCGAAGGAAGCTAACGGTTGCACCTTTTTGATGTTAAAGTGGTCTTCACGAATGCCGAAGAAACGTAATCCACAGTATGTAAATATACCTGGCAAAAACACCACGGAAGCATATCTGTTGCAATCCTAAAGTTGATTTTGTGCGGCGGGTTTGAAAGTTGTTTTTTATGAAACTACCCTAAAGTGATAAGTTTGTTTCCGATGGAAGGATTAAAATGGAACCCCAAAAGTTGGAATGCAGTACTCAAATACGACATCCTCAAATGTTGCAACACAGTCGGTCAAATTATAGGGAAAACCAATCTAATCAATATTTTCCTGAACACGCGGAAGGATGCGGACATCATGTACTTTTCCACAATCGCTTTTATGCAATTATTTTGATGTCCGCATTCCGTGCGAATAAAGCCACGTACTTTTGCTATGTATCTTAGGTTTTTTGAAGAAGGGTGAAAAGTGCTGGTCATTCGTCCTAAAAGGATTGCCGCACCGCACCGCACCGCACACACAAACACACACACGCACACGTGCGCTACCTGCTTCAATTATCCATTTTCAGACAGGATTGCGAAAGCGCCTTTACACCTATCAGACGAAACAATACAATGAAATCCGCTGAGCTGATTTCCCATTGACCTAGTTT